AAGATTTGTATGGAATCAGAAAAGACCCCGAATAGGGGAATATTGAAAAAACCAGAGCTGGGGGCATCACAATGCCAGATTTCAGGTTGTACTACAAAGCTGTGATCATCAAGACAGTGTGATACTGGCACAACAACAGACACATAGATTAATGGAACAGAATAGAGAACCCAGAAATGGGCCCTCAACTCTGTGGTCAACTAATATTTGGCAAAGCAGGAAAGAATATCCACTGGGAAAAAGACAGTCTCTTCAATAAATGGTGCTGGGAAAATTGGACAGCCACATGCAGAAGAATGAAACTGGACCGTTCTCTCATACCACACACAAAGATAAACTCAAAATGGTTGAAAGATCTAAATGTGAGACAAAAATCCATCAAAATCCTAGAGAAGAACACAGGCAACACCCTTTTTGAACTTGGCCACAGCAACTTCTTGCAAGATACATCTATGAAGGCAAAGGAAACAAAAGCAATAATGAACTATTGGGACTTACTTTTTTAAGATTTTATTTATTTATTCATGAGAGAGAGACAGAGGCAGAGGGAGAAGCAGGCTCCATGCAGGGATCCAGATGTGGGACTACATCCCAAGGCTCTACGATCATACCCTGGGCTGAAGGCAGGCTCTAAACCACTGAGCCACCCAGGGATCCCCACTATTGGGACTTAAGGATAAAAAGCTTCTGCACAGCAAAAGAAGCAGTCAACAAAACTAAAAGACAACCTACAGAATGGGAGAAGATATTTGCAAATGACATATCAGATAAAGTGCTATTATCCAAGATCTATAAAGAACTTATTGAACTCAACACTCAAGAAACAAAAAACCCAATCATGAAATGGGCAGAAGACATGAACAGAAATTTCACCAAAAAAGACATACACATGGCCAACAAGCATATGAGAAACTGCTCCACATCACTTGCCATCAGGGAAATACAAATCAAAACCACAATGAGATACCACCTCACACCAGTGAGAATGGGGAAAATTAACAAGACAGGAAACAACAAATGTTGGAGAGGATGCGGAGAAAGGGGAACCCTCTTGCACTGTTGGTGGGAATGTGAACTGGTGCAGCCACTCTGGAAAACTGTGTGGAGGTTCCTCAGAGAGTTAAAAATAGACCTGCCCTACGACCCAGCAGTTGCACTGCTGGGGATTTACCCGAAAGATACAGTGAAACACCGGGACACCTGCACCCCAATGTTTATAGCAGCAATGTCCACAATAGCCAAACTGTGGAAGGAGCCTCGGTGTCCATCGAAAGATGAATGGATAAAGATGATGTGGTCTCTGTATACAATGGAATATTACTCAGCCATTAGAAATGATAAATACCCATCATTTACTTCAGCATGGATGGAACCAGAGGGTATTATGCTGAGTGAAGTAAGTCAGTCAGAGAAGGACAAACATCATATGGTTTCACTCATATGGGGAATATAAGAAATAGTGAAAGGGATTATAAGAGAAAGGAGGGGAACTGAGTGGGCAAAATTAGCAGGGAGACAAACCATGAGAGATTCCTAACTCTGGGAAATGAACAAAGGATTGTGGAAGAGGAGGTGGGTGGGGATAGGGTGACTGGGTGACGGACACTGAGGGGAAACCTGATGGGATGAGCACTGGGTGTTACACTATATGTTGGCAAATCAAACTCCAATAAAAGCAAGTGGAAAAAAAAAAAGATGAAATGGACAGTTACAGAAAATTTCCCAGAAAGGCTTAAGCTACCAAATTTGAGTTTTAAAAGAGATAAAAAATTTAATAATGAAAAAATGTATTGAAAGCATAATCAGTACCTACCTTTCCCCCCAAAATTCACAAGATCCGGTTTTCCTGGTCAATTATACCAAATTTAGGAAAGAATAGATAACATCTAGGTTCTTTAAATTTATGAAGAACATAGGAATAGATCAAAAGCTTATCCAACATTGAACCAAAATCATTATTGTTTACAGAGAAACTACGGATACTCTAATTCATGAGTAGAAACTTTTATGACAAACAGATATCAGCAAATCAGGCCTAGGATTCTACCATGTTAGGGTTTATCACAAGAAAGAAAAGTTCTATACTAAAATATCTATAATATATTTCAAATAATTAATAGATTGTCTTTTAAAAATGACTGTGTTGATCAATGCTAAAACATTTCATGTCATTTCCCCACATCGTGGTTCTAGTCTGAGGCACTATCTGTAGCCACAGGGTTCAGGATGATTTCCACAGTGTCGCACAACATGGGTTAAGGAGTGCACTTCTTGGGAGAAAGGGGCAAATATATGCCAGTAGTTAGCAAGAGGAGAGAGGGCATAGACACCCCTAACCCTGCCGACATGTCACAGGGTAGCCAACCAAGCCAGGATACTGCGGGCCCAGAGGACCCCACCCCCTGCCCCCGACCATCTCCCCGTCTTCATCTCTTATAATTCAAACATGAGAGTCAAACTTGTGGGTGGAGAGAACACTCAGGCTACTTAGCATTGGATTCTCTGGATTTGGAGTGAAAGCAGTCCATGGGAATTACCTGGGAAGTTTAGCCATCTGTTGTATAGAAGACTTTGGGGCAGCAGGATACTACAGGTCCTCTTGTGCAGGTTGGGTGGCAAGGGGGTAGGAGCTGCATTTCAGTGAGTTTTCTCCCCCTGAAGTACAAGCATCCTTTTCCCAACTAGCCTGATGTCCAAGCCAGCCAGCCGGAACAACATCAGCTGAGGACGTCAGTGGACAATTCTGCCTGTTGCCTCACAAAAACTTAATTCCTATGTATGTCTCTTCAAATCTTCATAAACATGGAATAGAAATAAATCTGTTACTTCATTGAGGAGAATCTACCAAGAACCTGAAGCAAGCCTCGCATTAATAATAAAAGGTCAAAGGCATTCCTTATTTAAAACAGGAAAAAGACAAGAGGTCCTTTTAACATTTCTGGATATACTTTTTAATATAGTAGGAGCAAAAAAAAAAGATGTATTTTTGAAAGACATGGTTGTCAGATTTGAAGATGTGATTGACTACCTAGAAAATAGAGGTTTCTGAAATAGTGATAATTTTATTTTTTGACCTAACTTATGGTTATATGGTGTAATCTTTATAAAAGTCATCAAGGGATACCTGGGTGGCTCAGTTAGGTGTCTGACTCTTCATTTCAGCTCAGGGCCAAGGGATCTAGCCCAGCATTAGGTCCTGTGCTTATAGAGGAGTCTGCTGGAGATTCTCTCTCCTCCTCCTTCTGCCCCTCCTCCCTCCCCCATATGCGCACATTCTCCCTCTATCTCAAATAAATAAATCTTTTTAAAAAATAACCAAAAAATCACTTGACAAGCTTTGGGGGCAGGTTCCTTGCCAATGAGGATGTGGGCAGCTGATGGGACTATGTAATGTCCACAGAGCAGGCTGTACGACACTAGCGATAAGAGTGGAGGCTCAGCTGGATGTGCTTTGAAAACTGAGTATCTGTCAGTGTTCCGTAATCCTTTCCAAGTACCGAATCCAGGTTTGTAGTCTTGGTGTCCAATGTAGTGAGTTTATCAGCTTAGATCATACTGGTTACATCCAAGTCTGTTTAACATTTGAATCGTCATTTCAAAGTATCTTCTTAGTGGAGCTCAAAAGCTTGGAAAGGTGGGTCAGACTCTTTCTACATGTTTCCTGTAAAGCATTTACTTGCTAGACAGGCATCTTACAGGTGAGGGAGAAGAGTGAATGGAAGCTGGCCAGCAGCCACCATCAACTATTAGTTTTTATAGACCCTCTGTCAATATCTTTGGTAAGACAAGGGTAAGTAGGATCAAGAAAGTACCAGATCAAAACTTGTCAGAAAGCTTGCCAGTAGTTTGGAAGATTTTGTCGAGAGTAGTGGTACCTTTTTTTTTAAGTTTTCATTCTGAAATAAATAGAAAAGTTATAAAAGGAAGTAGAGTTACCATAAACTCTTTACTGAGCTTCCCCTAATGTTAACAGCCTGCACCCCACATCAGGTGTCAAAATCAGGACATTAGCATTGATACAATGCTATTAACTAGTCTGTAGATCTTATTCTGATCTTGCCAGTCTTCTCACTATTCTTTTACTGACCCAGGAACCCATCCAAGGTCCCACTCGTGTTTAGTTGTCATGTCTACTTTTGTTTCCTCCACTCTTGACAGTTCTTGTCTTTCTCTTTGTTTACCTCGACATTCTTGAAGGGCTGGCAGTTTTGTTGAATTCCATTCAGTTTGGATTTGTGTGATGTTTTCTTAGGATTAGATTGAAGTTAAGCATTTTTAGGAAGAATTCCGCAAGTGATACTTTGCATTTCTCAAACACACGGTGGCATCAATATGACTTATTACTGGTGATGTTAACTTTGATCACCTGATTTGGGTGGCATCAGACAGACTGCTTCACTGTACAAGTACTCTTCTTCCCTGTAGAGAATTAACAAGTTGCAGGACATATTCTGAGACCATGCAAACATCCTCTTCTCCTACAGTTTTTGTCCACGAATCTTAACATATTTCATTGACTTTCCTGCCACAGTTATTACTGGGGTGTTCACTTAATAATGATTTTCTATTTCCACTGCTCCTTCTGTTTTGGTTAATTGAAATTCCAGCGTAAGGATAGCTATCTCTTCTCTCATTTATTTAATGAGGATTTCGTATCCTGCCATCTTGTGTTTTGCAAATTTTAGAATGAGCTGTATGGCAGAGTAATGGAAGTGCTTTGGAAATAAACTGTCTAAACTTTTTCACCCAGAATTTCACAGCAAAAAATTAAGTCGTTGCTATAACAAACTCTGTTGAAAGTCATGATTCAAGAAGTGTCACTCACTGTTTTGGTTTCTCTGTGGGTTTGTTAGTGCAGAACAAAATACGACAGATTCTGCAACAGGCAGTAATTTAGTAGTACCTACCTGATTAATTTTTAAATATTGAAACATCTACATTTAGTACTCATTTAAGTATTAAGTATTTAAATAAGGACAATATGTATTTTCATTTTCCAGGTGCTGGAGCAATTCTGATTCCTCGTTTAGACATTGTGATTTCCTTCGTTGGAGCTGTGAGCAGCAGCACATTGGCCCTGATCCTACCACCTTTGGTTGAAATTCTTACGTTTTCTAAGGAACACTACAATATATGGATGATCCTGAAAAATATTTCTATAGCATTCACTGGAGTTATTGGTTTCTTCTTAGGTACATATGTAACTGTTGAAGAAATTATTTATCCTACTCCCAGGGTTATAGCTGGCCCTCCACAAAGCCCTTCTCTAAATTTGAATTCAACATGCTTTACATCTGGTTTGAAATAGTGGAAGCAGAATTATGAGTCTTTTCCTTTTGTCTTAATTCTGAAAATGATGAAAATAAGAACTAGTAGGCTACATTGCCATAAACTTAAAAATAGAACCAAATTTTCTTTTGGCACGTAATGGTATTTCAGTAGTAAGCTTTCTGGTAAGTAATTCTTTACCAGTAGTGGTAAACTATGACAGATTTTTTATTTTGGGTATTAGCAATAATTTTTAAAAATTTAGTTTTGAAAATTTTTTAAATTAAAAAATTAAAATATAGAAAACTTAAAGAATAAAAAGATTTCCATTATGCTTCATTCAATCAGAAATACACCGAGATTCTCTTTTACACCCATGCTTCTCTTTCCCCACCCAGTTGAGAAGAGAACAGGGTTCTGTCAGTAAAGGAATCAAAGAAGAACATAGTTAACAAAAATCTTCTCACTATCTAGGTGAATGTCAAAGTGTACTTTGTGTATAACGTGAAAATGTCTTAATCATGTTTTTATTAAAAAGCAAAATACCTATGATTTGTCCCTGGAAGGATAGAAAACTCATTAACCTGGATGCAAGCATCAGAAATCCCTACAACCAGAATTATTCTTCCCTAGTCTGTGATGGTAATTGATCTGCACAATGAAAACTCTGAGATACTGTGCGAGATCCTGACTTAGTGTCTCAGTCAAATTTGAAAGAGACTTTAAGGCTTATCTAACACAATTCCCTTATTTTTTACCTGAAGAAATTGAGCCAGAAAGGTTAAATAACTTGGTCAAGACAACTTAGCTTTGAGATCAAGCAAGAGAACCTGATCTTTTGACTCCAAGTCCAGGATTTTTTATTTTTCACATCATACCAAGGAAAAGAATAAGTTATGTCCAGTTTAGACTTTAGCATTGCATCTATTTAATTATATTTTAATATTTGGAAAGCCAGTGATCTTTGAATAGGACACATGACCTGACTATAAAATCAGAGAACTCTAAAAAGCATTGCATTACAGCCATATCAACCCCAACAAGAGAAAGAAGTTTGTTCAGTTTTAAAGATTAGAAACCACTTGCTGGTTTAACTGCTGGCTAGTAGAAGGTACTCAGCTATTCTGTTTGTGGCTCCAACCCTTCTAATTAGTTCTTTTCTTTTCAGGTTTTGTAGTCACTGTCTTTCTCAATGGCAGAAAATAGGTATCTGACAAAATACAGGATTTGTTTATTCCTTCCAGCCCTGTGGCTTTCTTATCATAGCCTCTTACTAATCTAAATGGGCAGAATTAAAAAAAAAATAAATTTATGCAGAGGAAAAATTGAGACAATAATAGACTACTAAATCTTGAGACACTCCAGGTTTCTTCTAGAGAAATACCTTTTATTACTCCATATTTGGCAGGCTCAGTTATTAACCAAAACAATCTCAGTTGACATGGAAGATGAAAATTTTTAAGTTTAAAACATTAAGAATCTTGACTTTTTAAAAGATTTGTACTTTAACATACATTGGACTTTTTAATCAGATTGGTTGTACTCTAATTTGTAATATATTAAGATATCATCGAGATCACTGTAGTATATGTATTGTGTATTTTTATATATAAATGCTAACTTAGTTCAAGTATTTTTTGCTTTGCATCATTAATGAATCAAGTACAATTCTAACAAAGTATCAGAAGCTTTATTTTTGTACAAATTCATAAGACTCAAACTTTTTTTAAACACTTACATTAGATATCACCAATAATTGTGATACTTTTATATCAAAGCCATTATGTTAAACTTTTAGTCATACTGAGAGAATGTGGAAGAAGTTAGAGGAAAAGTGATTGTCATTGACTGTTAGATAATCGTGTTTCTAAGAATAAATTAGATTTTTTAAAATATATAACTTGGTATAAAATGACTTAAAAACCATTATTTAATAGAAAGCACTATTATTTTGTCAGCTGTCATCAGATATTTCTAGTCTATGCATGAAATTTTATTTTTATACTTTGACATGTTTATTTTCCTTATTAATTCATCAAATTCAGTGAATTTTGAATAGTTGATCATAGCAATAAATAAATTTTAGGTTCAGCATGAACAAAATGTTGAGTGCATTATCAGCCAGGCTTCCTTATGCAGCAATTGCTGATTCGACAGCCAATACTTAGTCCTCTAGATTATTGATACTTTAAATACAAGAGAAAAGTTGAAATCATGAAAAAGGGAACTAAAAGGGGAGAGAGGTTAGTTTTCATTCTTAACAAAAAAACTATTTAGATGTAAAGTATAAATACACCTTTAAAGATTGTTGATGATGTATTTTAGTTGCAAAAAATTCAGTAGCAATATTTTTCCTCTGAAAATTGAGTTTTAATGAATCAGACATTTCCTAAAGATTTTTGGAGAAGATATTTTGATGAGACCAGCTGTTGCTTTTATTTTGGGGCCTGGAGAAATGAAAGCAATTGTACCTGTCAAATTGTGTATCTGGTATCTTGGTCTATTACATTATGGCTAAGATGACTTCAGCATTTCATTTGCCACAATGAAGAACCCTGTTTCCTGAGAGCTAATCAGGTGCCTGAGAGCCTTTCTATCACTGGGGTAGGGGAGAGAAGGGAAAGCTTCTTTTAGCTCTGCTGACCTCTGTTTGAAGTCAGTCATCATTAGTCCCTTACATTTCAAAAGGGTTTTGCCAGTTTCAGAGTCAACTTGTCAAAACACTGGTTTTCAGATACTTTTTAATCAGAGGATCTTCTTTTTCCCACATGGTCAGATTTCTCCACATTTAAATAAGAACTAGTTTTTTTTTTCTTGGTTAAAGACCCAATTTGTATGATGTTATCAAATAAAAAAGTGTACTGGATTAGAAAATGCCACATTATGTTTAATTCTGTCCCTGCTTGATTCTCCTTTCTTAAAACTATTTCTGCCTCTCATCTAGGCACTGCACTTAACGTTTTTATAAGGATTTTATGCAATGTGCATGTTGTAAATTTCCTAACAGGGCCTAATTTCATTCAGTATTTTCAGAATAGTTACAGGAAAGCTGTCTAACTGCAAAGACTATACAAATATTAATAGAACTGTTAAAGTTCCACATTAGTGCCATTTCTAGCTGTGGCAAAGCACAGGTCTTACTGTAGCTTACCTGTGGCACTTCTTCACTGTGTCAGCCAATACAGCATCTGAATAGTACATTTGTTTACTGATAGTATATACCCACATTAGGTTTTGACCTCAGTTCTCCCTTCTTCATTTAAAAAGGAGAAGATACAGAACTGAGATAATGGAAATGATAAATAAAAATTCAAAAATAATACCAGCAGCTCAGTGAATATTTTCTGTTGAGGAACAAAAAAAATTTGGCAAAAATACAGACCATTGATCATGTAAAATGAGTTTGTTTTTTCTAATGAGTCTATTTTGTTCATTTTGGCTGAACTAGCTTCCCCCTTCATAAGAAAATTTGGGAACTTCAATCTAAAAGGTGTAACAAAACACTTCCTAACATTAAATGGCTGACTGCTATGGTTAATACTTTGGAAGTATTATGGATAATTTTGTTTATGCCCCTAGTGCTTACTTGGCTAACTGCTTTATGAAAGTGGTTCGTTTTCACCTAGGAAATAAGAAAACATGCTTAAGAAACAACTAGAGGGCAGCCCTGGTGGCTCAGCGGTTTAGCGCCACCTTTAGCCCAGGGGCGTGATCCTGGAGACGCGGGATGGAGTCCCACGTTGGGCTCCCTGCATGGAGCCTGCTTCTCCCTCTGCCTGTGTCTCTGCCTCTCTCTCTCTCTTTCTCTCTCTTTTTGTGTCTTTCATGAATAAATAAATAAAAATCTTTTAAAAATGGTTAAGATGGTAAATTTAAAAAAAAGAAACGACTAGAAATGCTATTTATTACCGTATAATAAATGAAATCACAACTTACTCGCATTCTTAAAATGTCATATTAAAATAAGCTAGTTCTTATGAGTGAGAGTGTACACACACACCAGTAATGTATATTAACTTACCATTTAAATTGGGTCCAGAAAGATGATGTGTTGAAAGGTCATTCCAAAACTTATTCCATTAGAGTTTTCTTGATAACAAATAGGAAAGTAAATGTTTCTACCGTGAATAAATTAAGCTCTGGGTTTTTGTGTTTTTCAAAATGATTTTGTTAGTCTGAAAATGAAATATCATTGCCCTTGAGTCAATTATTTTTCTTTTAACTTATTTTTCTTTACAGTATGAAAAAGGCTGTCTTAAAGTACTGTAGCTCTTCTGAATTTTCAATAAAATGTAATTAATTTGCTTGCAAATGCCTTTTTAAATGAATTTGTCTTCTATAAGGTTAAATGATATTGACAAATGTCATAAGCTGAAAATGGCACTAGTATATTCTCATAATAGCATTTTAGTCACTCTCTGATTAATTCTTTGTCATGTGATCTTCAAACTTGGAAGGTGATATAATGTACCTCTAAGATGTAAGAGCAGATGTTGATTAAAATTGAAGGGACATACTCAGAACCGTGACCTGACCTTCCTACAAAGTAAATGCAGAATGAGCAGCCTGCAGATGCTGTATCTGTGATTTGATTTACCACTCTCTCCTGATTCTCTCCAGGTCAAGAATATGTATCAGTTACACTTTAATATGTTTCACTTGCATTGTGCCAACTCCCCATATCAAAGATCATAAACATATTTATACTTTTACATCAATAATCCTGCTCTGTGAACCTAACCTAAGGGCATGCCACGGTTCACCAGAATTATGCCTGCGCCTAAAAGTGCATCAGCAACATTTCAGTAGTGGAATATTGGAAACAACTTTAATGTTCAACAAAAGGAAACCATAAATTGTGATATATTAACCTAGAACACAATGAAGGTGGTATTAAGGTTAATAATTTGGGAAAGAATAAATACATAAAACTAATTTTTAATCACAGCTTTGTAAAAAGAATTGCTTTTGAACCTACACAAGATACACAGAAAGTACAACCATAGTGTTAGGAAAAATATAGGTTTGGGCCCCTGAGTGGCTCAGTCGGTTGAGCATCTGACTCTTGGTTTCATCTCCAGTCATGATCTCATGAGTGGTGAGATTGAGCCCTGCATCAGACTCTGTCCTCAATGGGGAGTGCTTGAGAACTCTCTCCCTCTGCATCTCCCCCTACTTCTGAGTGCTCACTCAAATAAGTATTTTTTTTAAGGTGGGTTTTACAGTTTTTGAATGAATAATAAGTGGAAGACTTCAAGAGAAAGGGGAATAAAGTTATAAAGCCTTAGTAGGATAACATGCTCTTAGTAAGCAACAGAAGGAACAGAAAAGAACATAGAGTAAGAGTACAACTAGAGAAGAAATGTGATGAAAAATCCACAGAATACTTGCTGAAGGAAAACAAATACAGCCACTTTGTAAAATTAATTTTAGGGTTTTTATGCAAAAGATTTATTAGAGTGGTAGTTTTAACATACATACATGGTCTCAAAATTTTGCACATAGGCTGGTGGGGTTGACATATCAAAGAACTGCCTTGATTCAAAGTTTCCTTTTAAGGGTAGATTTGTTTGAAGGCTTAAAATTGTGGAAGAGAATCAGGTCTTCTGGTCTTCAAAGTTTTCTGGTGCCGTGAAGCCCAGACACTTGGTACCAGGTGATAGAATGCTTCTCAAACTAAAGCTAATACATGAATCTTGCCAAGGAATCAGGGAGTGGTTTAATTCTTCCCCAACCTGGATCTTGATCTGGGCTGGAGGATGGGGACCAGACACAGGAACACCCCACCCTGCCTAACCGGCACTAAAGCAGGAAAGTGGTGTTGAGCATGGATCAGTTTGTGCACGTCAAGACTGAACAAGAATAGACCAGGAACCTGGGCAGTACAGAAGGAACACCATCACATCACAGACCCCCGGGGCCCTACATAACTTTGTAGCTCCAGCCCCTCAGTCTCCACAAGGCAAGAATAGGCACTAGGAAATCTGTTATCATCACTGTCCTGTCTTAAATCTTTTCTCCTTCTGCAATCTCAGCTGTACAAAGATCAGGCTTCTTAACGTGGTTCACTGGCAGGCCTCACTCCCTTGCCTCCCCTACAAGGTACAGTAACACCAAAGTGTTGGTTGCCCCACAAACATACGGCACGTTGTCTGGTTTACACCTGCAGGACTCCATCTCGTCATGTTGATACAATCTCCTTCTACTTCTGCCCCTTGTGTTTTCCTGGCAAACCCTTATCTATTGGTAAGATTCAGCCTACCCAGTGGCTCTTCTATCCTCTCTCCTACCCTGAGTGAGTTGTGTCTTCTTTCACGCTAGCAAATGACCTTGGGTTTGTGATCACACTTTCCATATGGTTTAGTAATTCAGTTTCTGTGTCTGTCTCCACTACCTTGGAGTTCCACAAGTATGCTATATGTATTCATTGTTTGGTTTCTTCTCTGTCCACCCTTAGAGACTATAAACTCCACAGAGGAAGTGATTTTGTCAAAGGTCTTCACAACTGAAAATCCAGTGTCTAGAGGAAGGCTGGGCACATAGTAGATGCCCCCAAAATATTTGTTGAATGAATGTATGAATTGAAAAAAATAACAAGGAAAGACCCATATTAGAGCTCCGGTACATGATAAAATCTTTAGGCACAAGGGCGAAGTCATGCATTTTCTACAGTCCTCTGTACCCCATGCCTATTTGTTTAGTCACTGTAGCCAGCTCTCTTCCATTTGGTAACCCAGCAGGCTGTGATACTGTAAAGCAAAGACTACCAAGTCTGAGTGTCTTTTAAAAATCCTGATCAAAAAAAAAAAAATCCTATGAATCAGTCAAACCTTAAGAACATATTCAGGAGCTCCTGGTAGTACATGTGAAGTCTCATCAAAAGGAAAAAACTGACCCTTTCTCACAAGCCTTGATGTCTTCATGTTTGTATATGAACAGATTTTTGTAGGAAAAAGAATCAGAGGTCATACTCTCTACCCATTGTTAGAAAAAATTACATATGATCTAGAATGCAAGTCGCCCATTTCTGTCTTAAAAGTATAAAGAGAAGTAACTAAAGTATGACATTGGGGCACCTGGGCAGCTCAGTTGGTTAAGCATCTGCCTTTGGGCTCAGGTTGTGATCCCGAAGTCCTGGGATTGAGCCCCACATCAGTCTCCCTGCTCAGTGGGGAGTCTGCATCTCTCTCCCTCTACTCCCTCCCCCCTGTGTGCTCTCTCTTTCAAATAAATAAAAATTTAAAAAAATAAAGAATGACATCTAGTCCTGATGTCTGAGAGTACTTTCCTGAATTTGTCAGGCCTAAAGGTTCCCTGCTTGTAAAAGAGTAATACATTCAGTAATTTGGGGGAACCATCTCACAAAGGAGAGTATTCTCTTGCTGTTCTGAGAAGCTACCTATTGTTAAAGTGCGTTGCGGTATATAAGTGGACCCCAGTAGAAATCAAGAATGGGAATTACAGTATTGGGAAAAGTGACTGCCAAGACGATCATGTTGCAGAACTAGCTAGGAATGAAAAGTGAAAATAAGAATAGTAATGGATATCTGGAAATTGGAATTAATTTGATTGAAGATCCATGGCTCCATACATTGTCTTTTATGAGACTTCATCCATGTTTTATTTGCAGAGTTTGCTCTAGGACCACAGTCATAACTTTCACTATAAAATAGATTAATTTTTTCCCTGGGTGAAGACAAGAGGCCTCAAGATTAAGTTCTTCATGTTGTCCAGGTCACCTTCTTTAGGATGTGCTTGTAAAAAAAAAAAAAGGATGTGCTTGTACTAGTAGTCACCCAATGTTAACGACTGCTCAATGTCTATATTAAAAGATAGTGGTGTCAGAAATCACATAGTACCAGTGGTGTGTGATGTGGAAGATATTCATCAAATATTGCATGCCAGGAACGGTTTTATCTTTCAGCTAATGCTGTATAGTACATATATGATAAAAGCGCTTGGTGACTTTTGGTTATTGTAATACAGAAAACCCATAACACAGAAGAGATTTTTAAATGATTTTGGAACCACTATATAGACTGGAGATGTGTTGTGCTCAATTCTGACAGAGGCCCAGATTGTTACAAGATTAGAAGAATAGGGGCAGCCACGGTGGCTCAGCGGTTTAGCGTTGCCTTCGGCCCAGGGCGTGATCCTGGAGACCCAGGATCGAGTCCCACATCAGGCTCCCTGCATGGAGCCTGCTTCTCCCTCAGCCTGTGTCTCTGCCTCTCTCTGTATGTGTCTCTCATGAATAAATAAGTTAAATATTTTTTAAAAAAGATTAGAAGAATAGATCCCCTAAATGCAAATCCACACACTGGCTTGGTTTTCAGAGATGCGTTAGCCATCTACCATAATGCCTTTTGATTGCAGTTTTATGTTTAATGCGATAGTGAAAATTATACTATGATCATCTCGCAGTTCTTGAGTCGTATACATTGTTAACATGTTTTGCCAAGAAGTGTACAGTGAATATAAAACCCTGCTTTCCTGGCTGGTAAATACTGGTTGGCAGAGGAAAATGTGCTCTCAGGAGCTATGAAATAGGGATGGGGAAATCCCTCCATGACATCGATAATATCAATAAAGACCATTTCTTTCTATCATTTCAAATTTGTGGGGCATCTTAGCAATATCCTCAATTATCTTGGCAAGCCTAAATTTATCACTACAGGGATGCATTATTGCCAGTTTTCAATGTGAAGATAAGGTGTGAGGATCAAAACAAAGCAAAACAAGCTGTGGTACCAAGACATTTGTACCCTGGTCACTGATGATTTTCTTTCTCAGTGGAGAAAACACGGCAAAGAAATCGTGGGTATGTTTAAAAGCCACATCAGGATGCTGCAATAAGACATGAAGAACTGTTCAACAGAATGCAATGCAATCAAAGAGTAGATTAGGAATTTATCTGTCACTACTCCTAACCAGACCCAGTCAAACTACCAGGTTTCATTTGGACTTACGAGTTTTCAAGGTACTATACTCATTAAATCTCTCCATTAAATTCTGGGTCCATGCAAATATGGACAGAATTATCCGACAAAGCCATCAAACATCTGCTGAAATTCCCAAACATCTATAATTTTAAATTTAATCTTCCAATTTAGCAGCAAAAAAAAAAAAGAGAGAGAGAGAGAGAGACAGGGAAGAAACATATTGCATGTAGAAGCTAATGCTTGAATTATTGAGCCAAAGCTTAGTGAAAGGTTAGCAATGAGATCACCTCTCTTCCACTGACATGAAAGAATTATTTTTTACCATTAATATTGTGTTCCACTTTTCTAATTTAAATACTTATCATATTTCTTTCTAGTCATTTAAAATTAATGGTCCAAGAGTACACTGAGCAAACCATTAAGTAGTTTGGGGATAACAAAAATCTGAGAATGGTAATGAGAGATTGTTGGTGGAATGAGTGACTGAGGGAATTGTCTAGGATACA